AGACTTGGAGTTTGCAAATTATGAGTTTAAAGTGGCTAGCTGATGAGTTGATTTTAAAAAAATTTCAACAAAACTCCTAGTCCGATTCGTATTTTTATTTTTATTTTCAATTTCACCTTTTCTTTTCCTTGCAGTAGCATAATTCAATTTAAGGAAAAGAAAGAAATTGGACTAAGGAAACATGGAAAATATTAATTAAAATAATTAACTGTTATAATGGCTGCTAAGATCAAGTGCAATGAAGGAATTTTTGAGTTACTTAATTTTTTTCATTTTCTATTCCAACCCCATTATGGATTTTTTCTCTCCTGTGTCGTTATACTCAATTTTATTTTATTAATTATACATAGCTTATATGATTTTATTGTCTTTCCATTTTTTTTTTTTTTTTTTCTTGTTTTGGGAACTTTTCTTTGCTGCTTCATATACCTTGATGGAGAGAGAGAGAGAGAGAGAGAGAGAGAGAGAAAAAGAGTCTTAAGAATAATCTAGTAAAGAGGTAATTTTGTCCAAAGAATTTTCTCAAACAATCAATTAAATGGATCTCAGTTAAAAATACGTCTGGGATAGCTGAGGGGAGTTTTTGCCAAAAATATTTATAAGGGATTTTTTCGCAACTACTTAATAATCGAGGGTTTTTTTTTGCAATTCGCCCTTTTACCGTTCCCCTTATTTATACCATAGGCTTCACTTTGTACAGTCCTGTTGCATAGTGTCAATTTCTCTCCTTTTTGGAATAAGTGGCTTAGAAAGTGCCAAATCAATTAAAAATATTTGGTAACTAAATTTTCACCACAATTGTATTCCATAGATAAAAGCTTTAAATATTGTATTCCATAAATATAAACTCACCTCCCTTATGTTCCATATATAAAAACTTTAAATATTGTATTTCATATATATAAACGCTTTTAAATATTGTATCCAAAATACGTTTTCTTCTTCCTTTCTCTCTCTCTCTCTAAAAGTTTCATCGCTTTTATTAATGGACTCTCCAAGGACTCACAACAACACACTCTAAAACTGCCTTCCCAACAACAACCCATGTAATTTCACTGGAGTACTATGCAGAAACTCCAGAGTATCATCCAAAAATCTAAGATTTGTTCATTTAAATCTCAACTTTGGGTCTGTTTTTTTATCTGATTACTTTTCCCCAATTTGGAGACACTTTCGTTGAAGAGCACAAATGTCACTGATTCGCACTCTCTTTAGTAGGATTTTGTTGGGATTTTACTTATAACATAAGTATGAAATAAAGTACGTATTGGTTGGGATACAAACTACGTATTGCTTGGGATGTTAAGTAGGATTATGTTGGGATGTTACATACAACTTATACTGACTTAAATTACAAACGGTTGGGATGTTATTTACAAATAATCCATAACTTATACCGACTTAAATTACAAACCGTTGGGATGTTATTTACAAAAAATCCATTAAAATTACAAACTGCTTGAAATGTTATGCAGTACATAAATAATTAAACAAAAAATCATGTCAGTCCAGTATACGAAGAAAGTGAATGAGAAATTTATGAAAACAAATTAATGGAGAAATAGATCCGACAAATTTATGGAAACAAATGAATTGAGAAATGAATGTATGATTCATTTTGGAAACAAAATAAAGAGAATTATCAAGATTTGAAAGAAGAAGAAGATAATAAGTAAAAAAAGGATCGCTTTCTCTCTGAACCTTTGGGCAAATCTAAGCAACTGGTGGGATTTGGGTTGATTGATATTTTTTTTATTTTTTTTTTGTGAAAATTAACGAAAAAACTCACAGCAAACAATATTTTGGAAAGAAATCAAAATCTGAAATGGGTTGATTGATATTTTGGGAGAGAAGAAACTGGCGGGATTTTTGTTGCTGAAAATAAGGGAGGAAAGAAGAAACAGTATTTGTGAACAGTGTACACACACAAATTTTTACCCACCTTAGTAACTACTATTCATTAACAAAAAATAAGGAAATGGGCAACTGTTGGACTGAATCCGACTTTGTACATCTATTATTTGTAGGGTTAAATGCAAAAAACCCTCTGAACTATTAGAGTTTTGCAAGAAACCCTACTGAATTACGAAAAACCCCCCTAAACTATTATTTTGTTGCAATCCACCACATTAGATCACCGAAAAAGGCAAAAGACAATTTCGCCCTCACTTAAACGGTGCAGTTTCAAATATTGTATCTTTAACTTGCTGACGTGGCCTTGATATATAATATATATATGTCTCTGCAAACCCAGAAGATTTGTCGGTAATATCCCAAATGAAGAAGGAACAGGGGATGATTGGTGAAAAGGGCGACACTATGAAGATGGAGGCGCTGGTTGAAAAAGATGGGGAGAGCTAGGTGGTGCACCGGCGAGACGGACCCGGCGATGGGCGGACGGGCGCAACAGTGGCGACGGCAGCTAATGAGCGACTAAAGAAGTCGCGATTCTGGTGAGGCGGTGATACTTAGTGACAGACACAGCGGTGACGATGGCAGCTTGTGATAAAGCACGGCTGTGCACCGGTGAGACAGATCCGGTGATGGGCGGTGGGACTAGAATCGGTCGGCTGTGGAGAGCTCGGATGTTAGCAGGGCAGTGGAGAGCTTGGGGCGGTAAGCAGCGGGATGTGATGGTGAGAGCTTGGCGGCTGAAAAAGATAGGGAGACTTTGGCGGTGCACTGGCGAGACAGACCCGGCGATGGGCGGGCGCAACGGTGGCGACAGCAGCGAATCAGTGACTAAAGAGTCACGATTTCGGTGAGGCAGTGATACTCAGTGACTGGCACAGCGGTGACGACGGCGGCTTGTGATGAAGCGCGACTGTGTACCTCATTTTTCTGACCAGACCCAAACACCACCTATATCTACAATTCTTACGGCACTGAACCACTATTAAACAAAATCACTAACACCCCATACGTCAATATCGATAATTAATTCCTTGATCGTGTTCGCTTCCTGGTTCTTCTTCGGAAATGAGCCAATTGTGTTGGAGCTAAAATTAAGCTTTGGTGGAATTATTAAAGAAGAAGATGATGATGGTGGGAGGTGGCAGAGTGTTGGAAGCCATCATTGGGATTTTTGCCGCCGGCACAGTTTTGGTATCGTCATTCTCATACCATCAATTTTGATTTGCACACCAGACGCCGGACTGAAACCACCAATTTGAAACGAAAAGAAATTCGTGGGAATCAAAATGTAATAGTCATCTTTACTTATTATATGGATTACGACAAGGAATTTGGATTTCATTGATATATGTGCATGTATACAGAGGGATAAGGACGTGTTTGGGTGTAGAAAGTGGGTGTGTTTGTGTTTAGGTGTTAAAATAAGGGGCAATATAGTATTTTCATGTTTATAAGGGTATTATGGTCTTTAAATTAAATATTATGTGTCAATCAGTGAGTTTCAACCGGTGCCGTTGCCGGATGGAGTCATCTGAAGGGTTTTTTGTAATTTTTGTAGTTCAGGGAGTTGGTTGCTAATTAGTCAATAGTTTAGGAATTTTTTTTGCATTTAATTCTTATTTTTATTTATTTATTTTTTATTATGATATTATTACTATATCTCAGATCATATCATTAATCGCTAATTACATAAACTTAATTCAATTTGTCCGAGAGAGCTTAAAAAAAGAAAAAAAAGAAAAAGATCAACATGCTTAATTTCAACCAAATGAGTCCAATCGAGAGAACTAATTAAGGTAATGATAATTAGGAGACGACATGAAGGGTGGTGTACCAATTCACATGGAAGCACGTGCAATCATCAATGTCGTAGGTAAAAACATTAGTGTACGGTGGGATGAGGTACGGTGCGACCCACTTCGTTCCACGTTTGGTTTTCTCAAATATAATAATAAAAGCTTGATTGATTGTTTGGTAGAAATTGACGTCAATGTGCACGGAAGTCAATAACGTATCTGACTTGTCCAATAATATAGTAGGAAAATCACGTATCTCAATAATTACTCTTCTGAAGTCTAACTGTTTTATCCAACATTTAATTATATTAATATTCATATGTTTTTCAGATTATCAAGCATTGGAAAATAGTTTTCTTCTCAAATTTCCATTTGTGAAACATATAAATAATAGTAAAAAATATCACTCGGCTACTAAATGGATAAATTTACAATCATAGTAAAATTATATACAAAATTAAAATTAAAAAAAAAAAAAAAATTCCGTCAGAGTTGCTTAATGAAAGTGCTCAAAGTTCCTACGATATAATTGAAAAAAATTGTCTTCCCTTCTTTATGACTTGTATACACGACGAGTTATATAGAAGATGAATTAGGTTAAAGATTGGCATATTTTTGTCCTTAGAAGTTGTGTTCAAATGTGACATTATGTGATTTGAGAGGAATAAAGTTGAAGTGGCAAAGTCGTCATATACTTTGTATGTGTATATGTTTCTCTGGGTCAAAAATTGAGGATCAATCTATTTTTTTTGAATGGTATTACAATACCAAATTTCTTAGAATTAAAAGACCCATTTATCATACTATATATTTTAAAATTCTAATTTTATGTCGCTGAATAGAATTTATATATATATTTTGTGGTGCTTCAAAAACGTGAAAATGCATCCGAGCAAATTTTTAACGCTTTCTCCTTTTGGCGGAGCTTAGAATGAAAACTGGACGACCTCCCTGCGTATTGATTAGGGAGGACCTCCCTGCGTATTAATTATTAGAGGGTAAACTGTATTTGATTTTTCTAAACCGCTTGATCGATGGAAGAATCAAATGCAATTTCCTGGAAGTCACATTAGGTCTGCCATATGCTGTCAATCAAGTCCACCATTTCCGTGTCAAACAATATTGGCCGAATTTGTTGACCACTTAAATCAGAATATGACTCAATATGTTGGACTATTCTTTTCTTCTATCAACCATTTTCAATCCATCTTTTGATGCTTTGCAGAAAAAGAAAAAGAAAAAATAATAATAAAGTAAGGATCATAGAGATACAAATGAACCCATTGAACATTGAACAAAGTAACGCACTGTGGCTGTTTTCATTTCCTGTATTTACTGAAACTTTGAATCAGATTATTCTAATTAAAACAGCAAGAAAGAATCAAATTCTATGTGCTAACCCCCACAATAATGACAAAAAATATGAAATTGTAATCTCATTTCTCATCCCACCCACAAAAAAAAAAAAAAAAAAAAAAGGGAATAAAGTAAGAAAAGAATTGTATGAAATTAGACCACTTCTCAATTCCCTGAAAAACTGCTAGTCTTATTGCTGTTGCTTGTGGTGGTGTTGATGTTGTTGTTTGTGGTGGTGGTATTGGTACTATTGTTGTTGGGATTAGCTCCGCCCATAATTGACGTGATGGCAGCCACCAGCGCCGCCGTGAAGTTGGGATCGGCGGTGATGGCGGCCGTGGCGGCGCTGACTGTGTCAGCCATGGATGGGTGGTGTGGTTGTTGCAATTGTGGAGGTGGGGCTTGGTGGGCTAATTGGGCAGCAGCAGCTGACTCCATCCCTTGGGAGACCTGGAGGCCAGAGAATTTGGATTGGTTATAAAGGGTCTGACCAAAAACTTGAGGCGGCGTTGGAACTCCGGCGAAGCTCGGAGGCTGGCCGGGGAAGGGGACTTGGAACTGGGTAGAGGGTCTTTGGAACTGTTGTAATTGGTTGGGAGTGTGAGTGAGGTCTAATGTGACAGTTGGAAATGGAGCTGAAGCTGAGATAGTGGCCATGTTAGATGAGCAAGGCAGAATGGCTCTGGCTAGAAAATTCGGGTTCATTAGGCCATCAGCACTCGACATGGACCCCGAGAGCAGCATGCTTGCAGCCGCGGACGTGGTCGACGCCATGGCCATGGCTGCCGGTGGCAGTGGATGGTTGTGGTTGCCTTCATACGTAGTTATTAGGATTGTTCTGTCCTCAGCACATCTCTGAACCTGTGAATTGCCATTTTTGCAAATTAGTCTTGCCCAAATCGACATATGATAAATTTTTAAAACCCCAATTCAGGAAATGAACTAATTTCCCAATTCGGGAAAGAATAATGATATTTAGTACGAAAATTCAAACCGATAATGCATAGAAGAGATAGAAATCCTTTTGTTAGCATTATCGGTTAGACTATTAAGTCTGAGAATTATTATTTTTCAGGAAATAGGCTAATATAGTGAAAAAGAAAAGAACATACTTGTTTGCGCACTGGACAACCAACTGCCATGGTGCACCGGTAGTAAGCCCGAGGGCACGGGTTCCCTTTTGCCATTTTTTGTCCATATTTCCGCCATTGGCAACCATCCGTGATCTGTAATGAACCATATTGAATCAATTTCACATCAATTAGGACAAGTCTTGATCAAATTCTACACAAAGTAGAGACTACGAGGACTATGATTAATGGGATAAAATTTTGATTGAATTTTAATTTACCATGGGAGCTTCTGATCGGGCTCGAACTGAGACACGAGCTTTCCTCATTGTAGCCTCAGTGGCTTGATCAGCAGGCTTAGAGGGATTCAATTTGGGCACCTTGTTAGGAACCCACCCTTCCGATTCCGGGCTCTCTTCCCTACCAATTGCTTTGCTGTCCCTGAAATTGGGCTTGTCCTGATCATATGGGACACTCTCATTTCTATTAATGTTCTTCTTAAATTCCTTAGAAGCAACTTCACTGTTGTTGTTTTGTGGCGACGACGATCGATCAATAATGGTTCTTTCTCCAGACGAAGATTGAGATGGCTCATCTGTCTCAGTGGTACCACTTGGGACCAAATCCATAAATTGTCTTGGTACCATAGCTCCTTGGCCAGCCTCATCTTTCTTATCTTCTGATTTTACATCAATCATCTGTATATATATATGGAATTAATAATGATGGTAAGTACTCTATTTGATTCAAAACTACAATAATATAATATCATAGAAAGAATTATAATAAAAAGAAGTAAATTAAATCACCTCATGTTCATGTGTTTGAGCTCTCAAACTTTGTTGCTGCTGGTGTTGCATTAGTGTCATCATATGCATTTGTAGTGCATTATAATTTTCACTGACTTGTGTAAGCATCCCTCTCAACCTTCGATTTTCTACATTCATCTTTTCGAGCTCAACTTGCAATACGGCCAACTGAAACATAAAGAATCAAATTAATCAATCAAAGCTAAACTAAGCTAAAAATTATACATATACATATACATATAAATATGTGAAATCACGAGTTTAAAATCGAAAACAGTATACTAAAATTTGTGCACGGAGTTAGCCCTTTTCCGATATATATATATATATATATATATATATATATATATATATATATCGTATAAAGTATAAAGAATGAAAATTGAACACCTAATCGATCTTCTTACCTCATTATTCTTGGCTTCTGTATCAAGTGAAGTTTCGTCATCCACCATTGATTGATCACTTCCCGTATTTGCAGTTAAGAGGTGCAAACCAGTCTACATAGGTAAGCAACCAATGATAAGAACAACAATATAGTTTAATATATATATAGATATATACTTAATTAAATGAAAAAATTAAAAATTTTGACTCGAGTTCTTACATTTACATCTAAATCAGTCCTTGGAACAGTTTGTCCGTGTGAATTTTCTTTCTTGACATTAGAATTACTCGTGTTGTTGTGATCATTGGATTCATTCCGATTGGAAAAGAAGTCCACCTCGTCCACAACCGTCCGATTCTCATCGGACGACATCGGAGCAGCTTGCTCTTGCACACCGTTAAGATTCACCGGAAACTTGACGCCGGAAAACATAGTATTAAGGTTAAACCTGGGAGTCAAACGATCAAAATCAGCTGTTGAAGACTTGTTTCTCATGAAACCAATTGGATCAGAATCAAGGGTGAGCCCCCATCCCTTGTCCATAAATCAGTATTACAATTAAAGAAGAAGAAGGGCAGTAGATAGAGTTATATAGAGAGAGAAAGTGATATAGTTGTAGAGAGAGAAAGTGAGAGAGAAAAAGTGAGAGATAGAAGGAGGGAGACGTGGAGTGAAGTCTGAAGTCTTTTACAGGTGCAATGGGCACGGCTATAAAAAGGGTTGGGGGACGTAGACCAAACTGAGATTGTGATAAGAATTTACGTAAGCTGATGCGTCACGGAACTGACAGCTGGATAGTGGGACCCACAGAGGAGAGAAAAGAGGTTGTTTCGTCTACATTTCGTCAAGACTCAGTTTGACTCGTTCGTATATAAGGATCAAAATCAATCTGAACAATTAGATAATATACATATATAATATTTTATATATAGATATAGAGAGAATATTATAGAGAGGGAAAGTAAGAGAACTCCACCGTCGTAGCGAAGACTGCGGCGGGTTCCACGTGATGGAAATGAAAAGGGTGGAGAGAGAGAAAGTCAACGAATTTGACGGCCGAGCTTTGTATGACACTTACGACTGGGTGAGTTAAATGTACGTGTATAGGTTGTGTGGGGCCACGTAAGAAAAGGCTATATGGGGCACAGACCACGTTTCGGATCTGAGACGCAACGGAAGCAATTGTTGACTGTTTCGGTTAACTATCGGTGAGAGGTGGGACCGAGTCAGTTGGTTAGACATTTATGATCGGATTAGATTATCAATTTTAAATAAGATTAGAAAAATTACTGTAATAAAAAGAAAAACAAAAAAAAAATACTTGTCCGTCTTTGTTACCAGCACTATTATTGAGTTTAACACTTTAAAAAGAGATCATATTCTAATCAAATATTGACTTCTTGATAATAGTTTTTAGTAGGCATATTTGGATTAAATACGATAAGGCCGTGTCCTCTGTATAGTTGGCCATATAGAGTTTTTGAATTAGAATTTATAAAATTAAAAAAATAAAATTAGTTCAATTTTGTACATTGTTTTTCTTCAATTTTACAAATTTTTATTCCAAAACTCCAATATCATATAACCAAACACAGCCTAATAATTTTTATTAGACATACATAATACAAAATATCAATCAATGATTCAATATAGCATTTATTTTTAAATTAGAGAGATGAAATGAAAGTGATAAATGCACTTTACCTTTTTTATTTATTTAATAAATGTACTATTTTAAATGTGTATTGACATTATTTCCTTTTATTAAATTTATGAGAATCATGTTTAAGGGGATTTATGTCATATAATTTAGGGGAAAAAAAACAAAAAATGGAGTGCATTTATACCATTTTCTTATATGTGTCAAAAACACGAGAGATATAGAGAATTCAACATATACTGATTTATATTTTTGTTTAATTTTTTTATTTTTTATTTAAAAAAACTAGGATTGTTCTTCTTGTCCTTTCTCCTTAGCCGTATCTTTTTTCTCCCCATGCTTATTGGAAAGCATTCTATACCTGTTCACACCTGCATGTTGATTTAATTTGCTCATCTACCTATCATTTTTATGTTCTAGTAAAGTCAAAAATAAATTGAAGAAATTTCAAGTATAAGTTTTCAATTCCGTACCCATCAATTTGACCAAGATTATTCATGAAACATGAATAGTCCATGTTACAACTGTATGTAATGGTTTTCTTTTCTCATGTAGTGTGATTTACACACATATTTGCATGATTATTATACTATTTAATGTCCATAAGGTGTATTTATTCAGTATATTTCTTGTTCGCATGGATGGTGTGTTAATTACTATATCAGTTCATAATTATTACTATATTATTATGGGAACCAATTATTATAAGGTACTGCATAAAATTTCTAAATTTCCAAATTGACTCCTAAAATAGCAACTTTGAGTTTATCTCACTTGATCAGACTAAAAGCTTCAGAGATGGAAAAAAAAGAAGGGAACTCATTAATATATTCAATGGTTATCTTATCTGCTGAATTTAAAAATAATTACTATGAGGTCAATGATGAGCAGTAGCTCAAACATAAGAGGTAGATGGTAATTTTTTCAATTTTTTTTATTATATATATATATATAAATTCGTTGATCCTACAAAAACTTACTTCTCATTTTAAAAAGTAAACTAAAAATCATTAGATTACAATGCCCTTGATAACTGGTCAATTTTTAATAGAAGTGTGAAGATATTTTTATAAATATGGCTAATTTTGATTTTCTTAGCCATTCTGATTAATTTTGACATACATTCTAAACCTTTTGTCATTCAATTAGAAAATTTAACAACTCACTTGAAAAAAATGAACAAGTAGTCTTAATCAAATGATTTATGCATGCGTGCATGTATAAATATATATATTTAATTTTATTAATAGAACCAAGGCCTACTAGACATTTCAGTCAACTTGACAATTAGTTTGCTTTGATTATTAATCTTATTTTTATTTAAACACGTAACTTTTTTTTTCCTTCCATTTTACACCAATTTTCAACATCTACACAAATTTTCAACATCAACTGACGTTTCCCTCTCTCAACTTCCATTTATGATTTTATCTCCAGTAAATGAGTCTTGTTCCTTTCTTCACTCCATCCAATCCCAAACAAACATTTCTTCACAAGTGGGACAACAGGGCACGGTTTGTCTTGTATCCAAACAAGAAAAACCTTTTAATAATAGTATTAGCTTTCATTTTTCTTTACCGTGACTATTTAAGCAGCCCAGCCCATCTGAGTCTTATTTCAAAAGAAACTTATAAAATTAAAGTTTTTCCACATTGGAACAACTCTTAGAATAGTATCAATGAGCATTGGATCGAATATCCAAACAGATTAATTTCGTGAACTTCACTTTTGACTAGTCCAACTAGCAAATATCACGTGATTGTCCAAGTTCCCAGCAGAACTCGTGGGTTGGAATTGGAATCCACCAAACGGTGGAAAATCAATTCTCTCTCCATGCGTTGTCTAATTTGGAAATTGAGGGACGGAAAAGGGGAGGAAATTAGTAAAAAGAAGAGGGTTCTGTTCAAACATAGGGCGCCAATAGAAAATAAAAAGAAAAAGGAAAAGGGATGGAAAGGAAAAGGAAAATAGTTTGAAATGAACAATTCATAAAAGGAGTACTACAGTATATTCAAAGAAAAGTTGTTGCTTTGTTCATCAACCGAAACATACAACATGTTGGAAACGTGGTTGATTAAAATTTTAAAGTGTCCCACTAAACTTTTATTTTTATTTTTTTTTTCTTTTTCAGGAAATTATCCCAGTGAACTTTTTGTCACTATAAATAGCTGATCTCTTAATTTCTGATGAGATGTGTGACCTGCGACCATCCAATTCCTCTTATTTGTGACGAATGTATTTGCAACAAGGAAAGTGTAACTTGGGAAAAGAATTATTGAAAAAATATTAAAATATGTTTTCAAATTAATTGCTAAATATGTTATATACCTTTTAGAACACGTATTGTAATACCCCTAATTTTAAAAGGATAGTCTCGGCATTTTTTATAATTGTTCTGTATCATTAATTGCGTGTTCGCTTGATTAATTAATTAATTAACTGGTTTGATTTAACTGTTTAATTGTTTAATGGGTTTGATTTAACTGTTTAATTATTTGTTTGGTTGGATTTAACTGTTGAATTGTTTTAATTATTTTAATTATTTAATTGGGTTTGAGTTAACTGTTTAATTGTTTTAATTATTTAATTAGGGTTTTATGTAGGGATTTGTATTTGTCTTTTAAGTGATCACATTGGGGGTTTTAGCTGACTTTTAATTAGCTGAGGATTAGGATTAGGGTTTTCAGTGAGGCCTATAAATATATGTATTAAGGTTCTGCCTAGGGTTTTAGAACCCTATTCACGACTGTGGAGGCAGAGAAAGAACAGGGGAGGATTACAGTAGGAATCGCCGGAGAATTTAGGAAGACGACGGTGCCAGGTTTCAAATTGAGACCTAAAGGCAAGTTCTATACCTAATTCTCTCCCATTGGCTCGTGTTCTTTACATGTCTAATACAATTCTAGGAATATATAAAGATTAAAATTAAACTGGATTGCATGTCTGAGATACTTTAAACGGAACGTGTTTTCAAGTTATGTATTGTTTGTTTTAAATTCTTTCTTACATAACTCTTTCATGTCCATTGATGTATAAAGAGTTTAATTAGTCTGGAACACCTTGCGAAAACACTAAAATGAATCTATTTGCATGGTTGAGTTGTTTGAAACAGTAGGTGATCATGAATGCTAAATTGCTCGATTTGAATTTTTTTTACACAATACATGTTTAAGTTGATGTCGGTAGTTGTATAAAGAAGTTAATTGCCTCTTGAACATACTGGAACCTAGTTCAAACACCTAGGAATCTTGACAATGGAGACGAAAGTGATGGAAGTCGCCGGAGATGAAATCGGTGAAGGAAAACGAGTGAATTGGGCAAACTGGGGAAGGAGGCGGCTCTCCACAAAGGTGGAGCCGGCTCCAAGGGCTGTGGAGGCGGTTCCACATGGTGTGGAGCCGGCTCCACACAAGGGGAAGGCGGCTCCCCATGTGGGACAGGCGGCTCCACCCCTTTTTGATGGATTTTTGGCACGTTGTTGCTTCTAGGGTTGCTTTCTGACCTTTCTGGGGTAATCAAGGGCTGTAATTGGGAAATTAGTTATTACCTAAGTTCTTGTTTAAGCTTTAGAGAGCAGGAATAATGGTTAATGAACCACTTGGGGTTTATAACTTAAGCAGTATAAAAGTTCCTACAGAGTTTGGTATACTATTTTGGAGGTGGATGATTTAAATTGCTTAACTTTGTTTGTAACAATTTTTCTGTGAATGGTTTATAGTCTAAAGCATGTGTTCAGTGGTATCAAGTAAGCATGCTAATGTATTTATTATCATTATTATGCTTATCATGGATTAAATGATGTTTATGTTTATTCTCTGTGTTATAAATTATGCGAGAATCATGTAACAGTGGAATAAGACAAGCATGTTAGTTTACAAAATTCTATTATGCTTTGTATGAAATTAATTGATATAAACGTTTATTTATGTGCTATAAATTATATGGATTATGTGGATTGGTTGGTAGTTACATTTATTATCTGTGTTATCAACTATAGGATGTATGGATTGTATGCACCAGGACGGTG